TTGTCCTGGGGACCATTCAGGCTGTTCGCATTTGTGTCCTCACGTGTGCCCAAAGAATGAGGTGATTGGTAAAATGCTATGCCCAAGATTACTATCGAGTGCCGGCGGTGGGGTGGTTCAAATAGCCTCGGCTATCACCTCATTTTGTCCGGTCGTGATGGTCAAGTGGATTAAGGCGTCTGTACATACCAGTTGCGTGGACTCCTGGGAGTATGGGTTCGAGTCACTTCTGGGGTGTGAGTTTTCAGTTGCATCTTGTCCTGGGGACCATTCAGGCTTGTTCGCATTTGTGTTCCTCACGTGTGCCCCAAAGAATGAGGTGATTTGGTAAAAATGCTATGCCAAGATTACTATCCGAGTGCGGCGGTGGGGTGGTTCAAATAGCGCGGCTATCACCTCATTTTGTCAGGTCGTGATGGTCAAGTGGATTAAGGCGTCTTGTACATACCAGTTGCGTGGCTCCTGGGAGTATGGGTTCGGTCACTTCTGGGGTGTGAGTTTTCAGTTGCATATTGTCCTGGGGACATTCAGGCTTGTTCGCATTTGTGTTCCTCACGTGTGCCCCAAAGAATGAGGTGATTTGGTAAAATGCTATGCCCAAGATTACTATACGAGTGACGGCGGGGTGGGGTGGTTCAAATAGCCTCGGCTATCACCTCATTTTGTCCGGTCGTGATGGTCAAGTGGATTAAGGCGTCTTGTACATACCAGTTGCGTGGCTCCTGGGAGTATGGGTGCGAGTCACTTCTGGGGTGTGAGTTTTCAGTTGCATATTGTCCTGGGGACCATTCAGGCTTGTTCGCATTTGTGTTCCTCACGTGTGCCCCAAAGAATGAGGTGATTTGGTAAAAATGCTATGCCCAAGATTACTATCCGAGTGCCGGCGGTGGGGTGGTTCAAATAAGCCTCGGCTATCACATCATTTGTGTCCGGTCGTGATGGCAAGTGATTAAGGCGTCTTGTACATACAGTTGCGTGGCTTCATGGGAGTATGGGTTCGAGTCACTTCTGGGGTGTGAGTTTTCAGTTGCATATTGTCCTGGGGACATTCAGGCTTGTTCGCAGTTGTGTTCCTCACGTTGCCCCAAAGAATGAGGTGATTTGGTATAAAATGCTATGCCCAAGATTACTATCCGAGTGCCGGCGGTGGGGTGGGTCAAATAGTCTCGGCTATCACCTCATTTTGTCCCGGTCGTGATGGTCAAGTGGATTAAGGCGTCTTGACATACCAGTTGTGGGCTCCTGGGAGTATGGGTTCGAGTCACTTCTGGGGTGTGAGTTTTCAGTTATATATATATATATATATATATATATATTATATATATATATATATATATATATATATATATGTCGTACTAGTAGCCAGAACGCACTTCTCAGCCTACTATGCAAGACCCGATTGCCTAATAAGCAAGGTTTTCATGAATTAGTTTTTTCGACTACCTATCCTACCTAACCCAACCTAACCTAACTTTTTCGGCTACCTAACCTAACCCCTGGGTTTTTTGCCCCTCTTTTCGGATTACCACTCTGTCCCAGGTCCGGCTTCTGTTGGAGCCGGGCACTTGGATGGTATCCCTGTACCTCAAGGACGCTTATTGGCATGTCCTGATTGTTCTGGGTTTCAGGGACTGGCTCGGTTTTGTTGTGGGGCGTCAGTTACTGCTTTCGTTGTCTCCCGTTCGGATTGAACCTGGCACCTCACGTGTTCACATGCCTTACCCAGATCGTGGTGGCCAGTCTGCGTCTGTTAGGTGTTGACGTACCTCAATGACTGGCTGGTTTGGGCTCCCAGTCGGTCTGCATGTCTGCTCGCCAGGGGTGTAGTACTTTCCCAGCTAGCCGGGTTCGGGTTCTTGGTGAACTGGCGGAAATCCCATCTGGTTCCCTTCCAGGTTCAGACCTGGCTGGGCCTTGTGTGGGATTCTTGGACCGCTTCCTTGTCTCTTCCTCCGGAGTTTCTCCTCTGGCTGCGGTCCTGCATGTGCTTGTTTCCAGGGGCTTCGGGTCACCCGGCAGTTGCTTGAAGGTCTGTGCGGGAGCCTGAACTTTGCAATGATGGTCTACTCGCCAGGTCGGGTTCGGCTTCGTTGGTTGTTCTGGTTCCTTTGGGGATGTCCCTTCCGCCTCTCACGATCGCTGGGTTCGACCCCCGGGGGCCTTACTTTGGCTTCCTCTCTGGGTTTTTCAGGGTTCAGTGCCTTGGCGAGTACCCGAGCTCTCACACGATGTGTTCACAGATGCATCGTCTCTCAGCTGGGGCTTTGTGACCAGTGCTCACCAGGACAGCCAGGGGCGGTGGGGTCTGACCTTCTGTTTAGCCCACAGCACGGTGCAGGAGTTCACGGCAGTGTGGTTTGCGCTTCAGAGGGTTCAGGTCGCCCTCGGATTGTCCCGGTTCGTTCCCCTGTCCACGGAATGGACAGTTGACGCTGACTCATTCAGTTGGCTTTGCCAGACGTTCGGGCACCCGGAGGTGGACATCTTCGTGTCGGCGTGGTTGAGGCGTCTTCCGGTATATGTGGCGCCCTTCCCGACTGCGAGGCTGTCGGGATCGATGCCTTTCGGCAGGCCTGGTCGAGGTGGGGGTTCCTGTACCTCTTTCCCCCGGTTCAGCTGTTGCTCCAGGTCCTGGCTCGCTTGAAGACTTACCAGGGGGCGAGTAGTCCTCTTGGCCCCATGGTTTCAGGTGCTGTTTGCCCAGTGTGTAAGCCCAGAGGTTTTTCTGCGGCTCCACCTCTTTCAGAAGATCGGCCCAGTCTGTTACGAGACTGGTTCGCTCTTCTCCTCGAGTCTTCGTGTTTGGTATTTTTGACTCGAGTTTATCACCGTTTGTATGGTGATCAGGTGGCTTCATTGATGGCGTCCCACTTATGTGCTTCGTCTCGGCAGCAGTATGATGTTTCCTGGCGGTCCTTCCATTTCTTTTTGACTCTTCGTCGTTGTACTTCGTTTTTGGTTCGGGTGGTGTTGTCCTTTCTCTCGTGGTTGTTCCAGGACCGTCATCTTATGCTGAATACTGTCGCCTTGTATCATGCGTCCCTGGCGGAGCCGCTGCAGCTTGCTTTCAGTATAGATGTTACTTCTGCGCCGTTTCGCAAGCTGTCTCGTGTGTTGTTTCACCTCCGGCTTGCTCATGCACCACCTGAGCCATCCTGGTCTTTGGACAGAGTGCTCTCCTATCTCTCTTCTCCTCAACTTGTTGTGGCCCTTTCGGTTCAGGATTGCTTTTTGAAGGCTCTTTTTCCTGTTGGCATTGGCCTTTGGGGGTCGGGTCGGGGAGCTTCATGCTCTCCTCCGGCGCAGGGGTTTCTGCTCTTTCGGTCGTGGCGATAGGTTTGTTCGTCTACAGCCATCTCCTTTTCTGGCGAAGAATGAGACTGCTGCTTTCTGGAGGGATCCTTGGGTTGTTGATGCTTGGTTGGTCAGGTCGGGGGTACATCATGAGTTGTGTCCGGTTGCGGCCCTCTGCCGTTATTTGCGCGCCACGGCTTCTGTGTTCTGCCAGGGACGTGCTTTGGGCTGATCCAGTTTCCCTTCTTCCCTGTTCTTGGGTACGGGTCTCTCAGGTCGTCCGCAGGGTTATTAAGTCTAGCCAGCCTGCGGTCTAGCCCCGTGCCCATGATGTTTGTAAGTTCACTGCTCTTGTAGCTGTCTTTGGGTACATGTCCTGGGCTGACATTCGTGCACAGGGTTTTTGGTGGTCGAACAGGGTCCTGGCTGCACGCTACCTCGTTAACGTTCCTGGGCCTAGTCGGGCCTGTGTTGCTTTGGGTCGGCGGCTGCAGCCTGTCTCAACTTCGAGTTGAGTTGTGGAGCACCAAACGCCTCCCGGGTAAGTCCACTTTTTTCCTTAGTCTTTGGTGAAGTAGCTCCAGGGAGCCGTAGGGGCTCCCCCTAGAAAACCAGCATTGAATGTAATGAAATGCCATTTTCTGGGAGTGTCCCGGAGGCTCCCCGGTAACCCTCCCTCCCTTAGGTCGGCAGTTTTCGTGTGTTTTGATATCCAGCCTTGGAACTGAGGTGTGGATGGCTGGCACAGGGGGTCTGGGGCTTCCCCTTCCCCTCCCGGGGAGGGGGGAGCTGCGCAGACATGTGGCACGGCTCATGTGATAGGCTCGTTTGCTTGTTTTCAGTTGGAGAAGTTCTGTCCACTTGTTTCGTTATTTTCGTTGGTTTCACCAGAATAGGGGTTTGTTTTGAGGCGCTTACCTTTCTGGGTGTCTGTCCCGGTCGATGTCAGATATAGAACATTTCAAAATCACATGTGCATTTCTATGGGCCATTGCTCCTCGTGCCTCTCTGAGGGGGCCAGATTCTGGCCGTGGTCCCCGGTAGGTCTAGAACTCCACCTCACATCGTCTGATGTCAAAAGTTCGGACTATTCCTATCAGCCTTAATAGCTCCAGGGAGCCTCCGGGACTCGCCCAGAAAATCGCATTTTATTACATTCAACACTGGTTTTTATCATATGAAGTCACCAACAGTATCAAAGAAAATGATGACCTTCAGCTGTCACTGGAGAGGTATGTTTATTTGTTACGCTTATTTGATGTTCACAGGCGTTGTTGCTGTGATGTGTCTTCTGAGGTACACCTACATTGGACTGGGCTTCCAACCTGTTGCTCCTCTGTTGGCAGTGACAAAGAAAGTATGGTGGCAGCAGAAGGTACTCTGCACAATGGAAGAGAGAAGGATTTATCCAGACAAGGGCCCTCATTCAAGTGCAGGGGTAGTCAGGGAGGCAGAAATTGTTGGGAAATTAATCAACTGAACTTGTGAATAAAGTGTATAGAAGAGGTCCAATTGAAAAGGTAAATGATTTACACTGTGTGTAACACATGCTTTCGTTATTTAAATTTTTGTTTATGTTTATATGCATGTATTTTGTTTTGTATTTAAACTTTATATAATGCAACCTTTACCTAGGGCCATATGTTAGCTTTACTTTTCTGTGGGGAGCCCCGTCGGCTCCCTGAAGCTATCCAGACTGATATGTGCTGTTAGTTTGGGGACATCAGTTATGGGAGTTAGTTTGGGGACATCAGTTATGGGAGTTCTGCCTACCGGGCGGGGACCACAACCCACAACCTGCCCTCCTTCAGAGAAGCACAGGGAGCAATGGCAATATGAGCACTCTGCATGTAGAGTACGTCATGTCTGCCTTCGACAGGAAATATACCCCCAGAAAGGTAGGCATAACAATACAAACCTCCAACTGCTGAAAATTGCAATCTACATCCTAACAGCCAAAGAACTACCCCCAAAAGAAAACAAATAAATAAGCAAATAGTCCTCCAACTAGCATGCCCGTTCGTTAGCGACCCTCCCCCTTCCCCTCCCCTAACATGGGGAAGGGAGAGCCTGCTCAGGTGAGCCTTCAACCCTTCAGTTATTGACTGATGTGCACTGGGGGCACACATTACCTCTGGCCTCACTTTCCTGTCTGGAATTTCCCCTGTGTGGCTGTGCCAGCTGTGTGTGAAGGTTGTGGTGGTCAGGTGTTCTTCTGTACGCTGGGCTGCATGCATCTAGGGCTAGCTTCTGTAGATACCCTGTAAGTAGAGTACAACCTTGATTCAACGCACTATATGGGACCAACCCCAGTGTGTTGGAGCGTTGGATTGGTTGCAAGAGGTGACCTTCAAGAAGCATTTGCATCAGTGTCTTTTTTTTTTCTTGTAAACAATAAAAATGCATTATCATATTATATACTGTACCTATATATTACTACTATACTAAAAAATACTGTTACAGTTGTTATTTACCTTATTGTTGAGGTAAGAGGCAGGGAAATAGAAGCAGTGAGGGAGAGAGGGGAGGCATTGAGGGAGGGTGAGGAGGCAGTAACAGATGGTGGGAGGCAGTGATGGATGGAGGCATTGAGGGAGAGAATAATGGATGGAGGCATTGAAGGGGAGAGGCAGGGAGAGATAGAAACAGTGAGGGAGGGAGGAGAGGCAGTGAGGAAGGGAGGGAAGGCATTGAGGGAGGGAGGGAGGGAAGGCATTGAGGGAGGGAGGGGAGGCAGTGAGGGAAGGAGGGGAGGCATTGAGGGAGGGAGGGAGGGGGAGGGAGGGAGGGAAGGAAGACATTGAGGGAGGGAGGGGAGGCAGTGAGGGAGGGAAGGCATTGAGGGAAGGGAGGCAGTGATGGATGGAGGCATTGAGGGAAGGGAGGCAGTGATGGATGGAGGCATTGAGGGAGCGAGATATAGAAACAGTCTGGGAGGGAGGGAAGGGAGGCAGTGATTGAGAGGGAGAGGGAGAGGGATGGAGGGAGGGAAGCTCCGGAGCACTGATCAAGCGATGGTGCCAAACCCTCCCACCCATACTGCATTAAAAATTTTAATCATAGCTGTACAATATTTATGCCAAAATATGTTAATGATTAATATTGCATAGTAATACACAAAAATTAACATGTTTTATTGCTTCCTGTTTATTAATTAAACAAATCTTTTATTTATGAATTCTGAACAGTTGGCATCTGCGAGAGCTGGGGCAGACAGACTGTGTGGGATCTAGGAGGGTGGGGGGAGAGGTCTTGGTGGCTGGGAGGGACAGGCTCCCTTCGACCCCGTTAGTGACTCCTCTATCCTGTTAGTGGCTCCCTACTCCATGACTTACAGTTCTTATGTTTTGAGGGAAGGAGAGGCAGTATGGGAGGTTGAGCCAGTGAGGGAGGGAGAGACAGTGAGGGAGGGAGAGACAGTAAGGGAGGTCGAGCCAGTAAGGGAGGGAGAGACAGTGAGGGATGTTGAGCCAGTGAGGAAGGTTGAGCCAGTGAGGGAGGTCGAGCCAGTGAGGGAGGGAGAGACAGTGAGGGATGTTGAGCCAGTGAGGGAGGTTGAGCCAGTGAGGGAGGTCGAGCCAGTGAGGGAGGGAGAGACAGTGAGGGATGTTGAGCCAGTGAGGGAGGTCGAGACAGGAAGGGAGGGAGAGACAGTAAGGGAGGTCGAGCCAGTGAGGGAGGGAGAGACAGTAAGGGAAGGAGAGACAGTAAGGGAGGTTGAGCCAGTGAGAGAGGTTGAGCCAGTGAGGGAGGGAGAGACAGTAAGGGAGGTTGAACCAGTGAGGGAGGGAGAGACAGTAAGGGAGGTTGAGCCAGTGAGGGAGGTTGAGCCAGTGAGGGAAGGAGAGACAGTAAGGAAGGTTGAACCAGTGAGGGAGGTTGAGCCAGTGAGAGAGGGAGAGACAGTAAGGGAGGTTGAGCCAGTGAGGGAGGGAGAGACAGTAAGTGAGGTTGAACCAGTGAGGGAGGGAGAGACAGTAAGGGAGGTTGAGCAGTGAGGGAGGTTGAGCCAGTGAGGAGGTTGAGCCAGTGAGGGAGGAGAGAGACAGTAAGGGAGGTTGAGCCAGTGAGGGAGGTTGAGCCAGTGAGGGAGGGAGAGACAGTAAGGGAGGTTGAGCCAGTGAGGGAGGGAGAGACAGTAAGTGAGGTTGAACCAGTGAGGGAGGGAGAGACAGTAAGGGAGGTTGAGCCAGTGAGGGAGGGAGAGACAGTAAGGGAGGTTGAGCCAGTGAGGGAGGTTGAGCCAGTGAGGGAGGTTGAGCCAGTGAGGGAGGGAGAGACAGTAAGGGAGGTTGAACCAGTGAGGGAGGTTGAGCCAGTGAGAGAGGGAGAGACAGTAAGGGAGGTTGAGCCAGTGAGGGAGGGAGAGACAGTAAGTGAGGTTGAACCAGTGAGGGAGGGAGAGACAGTAAGGGAAGGAGAGACAGTAAGGGAGGTTGAACCAGTGAGGGAGGTTGAGCCAGTGAGGGAAGGAAAGACAGTTAGGGAGGTTGAGCCAGTGAGGAAGGCAGGAAAATTTTAATTTCAATCTGTCAATATGAAGAGAATTTAACATTTTCTGTCCCTTATTTGTCCACCCTCACTCATCTTGTTTCATCACAGAAAATGTGAGGAAATGAGTTGTCACCAGCTAAACTTTCCACTGATTTATGTGCCATGATGCTAGCCGTGCACTGCAACACGTGCATGGCTGTGCACTTGGTCTAGAATTGGCAACCCATATCCGAAACATCCCGTGTTTGGGTTCACTGGAGAGCCTAAATCATCAGCATTCCAAATATGTTGTAATAGCCATTGTAGCACATTTGTGGAAAGAGTTAGAGCGAGTAGCAACTTTTATTGTGAAGATTTGAGGGAGAACAGAGGAGCGAGTGGGAAAGGTGCAGAGGCGTGGGCCATCCGCCAACCACCACCACTCTGTTTCCATAGCAATGCCAGCAGCCATCTTGGTGGCCATTTTGGCAGCCATCTTGGTGGCCATTTTGGCGACCACCAAGATGGAAGTCGCCCTGCGGCCATGGAACCTCACCTGTGATTGGCTGAGGAGCTCAGTCGCTAAATGCCTTTCTCTGATTGGATCATTTGAAGAGGACCAGGAATCCGGCACCTAGCCGTCTAAGCCCCAAGACACCATTCTGCCTCTCCCCGTGTTAGACGCCCTCTTTGCCCAGTCGGCCAACTGAGTAAAGAGCGTCGTGGCGGTAGCTACTAGTACAGCTCCATCCTCCATCAACTACGATGTGGATCTGTGAGATGAACAGAATCTGGGAACTCGTCGTGGTTGGGTGTGAGAGTTGGGGAGTGTATTGGAAAACAGATTGTGGGAAGTGGGTAAAGTTTCATACAAGCAGTCATAAGACTCGTAAATCCCCACCCCAGTGATTAATCAGACGCTCTGACCTGCTAGTGTTTGTTAGCAGTAGAGTGAACGGGGAATATCGTGCCAGTGTTCAGGGGTATTTTCCCATAGAAATTCGTGGGAATTTCGTGAGAAAGACGTTCATTCGTGTTTCCCACCATTCTTGTATGAACGCTTCACTTCACTCAGTGGTGGTACGAAGCCACGCCGTGTTGTGAGGGAGAGTACGAAACGTGCCGAGCCACATGAGACTACCTCGCTGGGCTAACTCCTAGCCTAGCCTCCGCTGCCTTGATGAGTGGCCAGCCACCTACAAGCAGTGTGCCTGTGTATGGTAGGACAGTGTAATTACCTAAGTGTAATTACCTAAGTGTAGTTACAGGATGAGAGCTACGCTCGTGGTGTCCCGTCTTCCCAGCACTCTTTGTCATATAACGCTTTGAAACTACTGACGGTCTTGGCCTCCACCACCTTCTCACTTAACTTGTTCCAACCGTCTACCACTCTATTTGCGAAGGTGAATTTTCTTATATTTCTTCGGCATCTGTGTTTAGCTAGTTTAAATCTATGGCCTCTTGTTCTTGAAGTTCCAGGTCTCAGGAAGTCTTCCCTGTCGATTTTATCAATTCCTGTTACTATTTTGTACGTAGTGATCATATCACCTCTTTTTCTTCTGTCTTCTAGTTTTGGCATATTTAATGCTTCTAACCTCTCCTCGTAGCTCTTGCCCTTCAGTTCTGGGAGCCACTTAGTAGCATGTCTTTGCACCTTTTCCAGTTTGTTGATGTGCTTCTTAAGATATGGGCACCACACAACAGCTGCATATTCTAGCTTTGGCCTAACAAAAGTCATGAACAATTTCTTTAGTATATC